GGGGCTGGGATGACATGGACTGGGATCCTCCAGACTGGGACTGCACAGACTGGGACCAGATGGATCAGGGCCATCCAGCTGAGATTGTACAAACTGGGATAACATGGAGTGGGATTCTACAGACTGGGATCACATGGACTGGGACCATATGGACCGGGATGGCTGCACCAGAACGATGGGAACCGAGGCTGTCCTGCCCCACCCAGGGGTCCCTCCCAGTCCTGCCCAGTCCCGTGCAGGGGCACAGCCAAAACTCCCCGGAATGAACACAGAGATCCCGGAGCGCTGCTGGTCTTGGTCTCAGTCTCGGAGCACTCCTGGAGCGCTCCTGGTGCTGATTCTGGTCCTGGTCTGAGTCTCGATCCCAGAGCAGTGCTGGTCTCGATCTCATTCTCTGTCCTATAGCGATGCCTGTCTTGCTGCCAGTGCCAGCTCTGGTTTCAATCTTGGTCTTGGTCTCAGTTTTGGTCTTGGACTTGGTCTCGGTCTCAGTCTCAGAGCGGTTCCGGTCCCGGTGCTGGTGTTGGTCCCAGAGTGCTCCCAGTGCAATCTCAATCTCGGTCCCAGTCATGGAGTGTTTTCAGTCCCGGTTTTGGTGCCAGTGCCAGTCCCGGTGCTGGTTCAGGTGCTGCTCTCAGTCCCAGAGTTCTCCCAGTGCTGGTGCTGTTTCCAGTCCCAGAGCAGTCCTGGAGCGCTCCCATTGCTGGTCTCTGTGTTGGTGTTTATCGATGATTGATAGAGAGACGGGGACTGCTGACTCGTGATCAGAATCCAAATTTATTGTGAGCTACATTTGCTTATGCACCATTTTTAGGAAGGTAGTAGTTTTTGACTACATTCACTGTGTTAAACATCACCCACAAAGCTCTGTTTGCTCTTGCCAAGGCGTCATGGTTATCAAACTGCAAATGCCAATTAAATCCACAGTGCTGTCTGTCTCAGCTTCCACAGTGCTGCTCTCAGTCTGGGTCTTAATAGCAGTGCCAGTCTCGGTGTCAGTGCTGGTTCTGTTTTCAGTCTCAGTGTCAGTCTCGGTCTCAAAGCGGTCCCAGTCCCAGTGTTGGTACTGGGTGTTGGTCCCAGAGTGGCCCCAGTGCCAATCTCAGTCTCAGGCCTGGACCCGGAGTGGTGCCAATTTTGGTTCTGGTGCCGATGCCAGTCTCAGTGCTGGTTCTGGTGCCAGTCTCAGTCCTGGAATTCTCCCAGTGCCAGTGCGGTCCCAGAGCAGTTCTGGAGCACTCCTGGTGCCAATTCCAGTGTCAGTCTCAGTCTTGGTCCCAGTGCCAGTTCTGGGACTGGTCTCAGTTTCGGTCTCAGTCTTAGTTCCAGTTCTGGAGCGCTGCTGGTCTCAGTTCTGGTGTCGGTTCTGTTCCCAGTCTTGGTCTCGGTGTCCATTCTGATTTTGGTCTCATTCTTGGTGCTGGTGCCACTTTTTGTGCCAGTCTTGGTCCCAAAGATTTTAGGCCTGTTTGGGTGATTTTATACCAAACTGGGCAGTTTTAGGCTGGAGTTTAGGCATATTTGGGACTCTGTTAGGCCCATGTGTATGATTTTGAGAGGAATGTTAAATTTGTCTTTACAAATGAGTTGTGGATCAGCCTATAGATAAGGCTAGCACTGAGAGATAAGAGAAACAATGGGATGGATTCCACTGATTGATGAATGGAAAGAGATATTTGCCTTTACAAACAAACTGTAGGGCTGCTGATAAATGAAATTGGATATCGAAAGATGAAAGAAGCAACGGGGGGAAAACTAT